TATTAGTAAAAAGTGTTTCAAGTCTAAACTCGACATGACGCACTCCGCGTCTTTACGCCGTATTTTCCAATAGAGTAACAGCGCAGGTTACCAACGCAGTCCTTTTGACCACTTACAATAAAGCTTTAGATTCTAACCCCAGTCCCAGTCCAGCAGCACTTACAAGGCAATTTGCCATAAGCATATTTTTACCTTAGAAGTCCATTTCGATTATACTACGAATTTTTCTATCCGAGTGGTCAATTAAAACTTGCTCATTCTTGCACATTGTCAGGAAACCGGTATGTTCTAAAGGCTGACCTACTTTCCTAAAAAGACAATTTATCAATGCAACAAAGGCGCTGCGTCGCCCCTTGCCCCATCGGGAACTTGTTACACAAAAATTTTACCTATGTGCTATGTGCTATGTGCCTGTAATCTTTCCGTGAACATAGTACATCGCCCATAGAACGTGAACTGGACGGTTATCGCTTCATATAATCATAATAAAATCTTAACTTTACAATACAAGTGTTAGCAATATTAACAGAATCAGCGTGGGGTGACTCAATGGTTTCGATATAGTGCTCAAATAATCTAAAGTTAAAAATAAATTTATTACTGTACCCAATTAACAGATGTTCATGATAACACAAACTTTTTGAATTTTCTATACGTTTTAAAATGCTTTAACCAGGATAAAGAAATTGATGTGGTCTTTGAAAGATGCATATTTATAAAAATAATCACGCTTTTAAATTTATTTAAGCGGCGTTTCTTTAAAAGTTACTGCTTTTGCGTCTTCGCATCAATAGATGGCGTTAATATGGCAACATTTTAATCAAAAGTAATAAATGTTTATCTGTCAATTTGATGTGGGCTGTGGCAGTTGCGTTGCATTAACCAAATACCATAATTTTCAAAAAGTCATATAGTGCATGCCTACCAAACACCCTAGAAAAGTATATTATATATAAGAGTATTTTTCTAAACAATTTTTTTACTATTTTTACTAAAGGTTTTTTTATACGAACAGGAGGCTCTCCTGATGTTAAGTGATACCACTCAATACCAGAGGGCTCGCGAGTGCGTTGCCAGCCTTTTTCAGAATTGGTACGCTCTTTTCTTGAAGGAACCTAGTTGAATTGTTAAATATTTTTGAGTGTTCGAATAGGCGTTGTATTAAGTTTTTATATATTAGTTAATATAAAACAATATAGCTTTTCTTTACAACGGAACAATCAGATACAAACCCACCAAGATCAATAATTGATTAGGTAATTATTAAAAAATAACACTAATATTTCTGACTGCAATAAAACATTTACACATTATCTAAAGTTTAACATAGAATAACACAGTAGAATCTCTCTTTGAAAGCATAATTAAACTTCAATCTAAAACAATAAAGCATTGAATAATCTTAATGAATGAGATTAACCATATGTTCCGTGTCATTGACTCCGTATTATTCGCAATCTCAGATTTGCAATAGTCGAGTTTATGACAACTCGTGATACCAGATATTTCCGAACCGTTACGACTTAAAAGTTCTACAAGAGAAGAACATACCGGCAGGCAACGCACTTGCAAACCTCCTGGTGTTGCGGGTTCCATGTAGACTTTAAGTTAGCCGCCGGCTCGTTTGCCTCCTGTCCCATAAACAAAAATTCCGGAGTCATATGTATTTCTCGACTCTAAGAGTAGGAGTCTTAGCTAAGTAAGGCTACCGTATGTCAAATAATTGGATTGGATGCATACTTCCGGAGTAAGAGCGCGGCCATACGATGCGGTAACGGTGCGGTGCGGCGCCGCAATTACTTCGAGCTATAGGGTGCCATACGGGCGTTGCGGTGTGGCAATATTATATTTTACTCCTCCCCGCCTCGTCTCGCAGGTCACAACTCCGGCGCGCTTGCGGTGCGACGCCGCGCGGCGGCGCAACGCGTCGTGTGTCATGGTATAAGTAGTAATTTGTATGTAGGATGACGTTGCGGCACCGCTCCGGCGCCGCACCGCACTGTTACAGCATCGTGTGGCGCTCTAATGTTTGGAGTATGCATGACTGTTGATAGATATTTCTAATGGTAAGTGTCCAGTCACACATCATAGATGTTTCGGTCGCACCGGTTTCCTTATGATATACGACGTACAATTTCCTACATAAGAATACAATTTCACACAAAAAACTAAATAGCCCAGCACAGTTCTTCAGGTCCAATCGTATTCATATGAATGCAATTAATATTTAAATAATTTTAAAATAAATTCTCTTCTAAAGTCTATGCGGACTGACAGTATTTGTAAAAAAATTGTTTAAAATGATTATTACCCTAATAAGAGAGATTTTGTTAAATGGCAACATCTTTATTCTTTAGGAAGATCTTGTTCTATTTATAGTCTATCGAAATGGCGTCATATGTCGATATAATCACATACAAAACAACACAAACCGGACTAATTACTTTATAGAGTAATATACTACCTTTATAAATACGATTGAGCGGCATATATATAAACTACTTCGTAAAACTGACGGAAAACGTCAGATTAATAAAAAATATTATACGTCATTCTGTCATGTTTATTACACGACAAACCCATCGCTTGTGTGGTCAAGGGGAAGTCCAGAATCCGTACAAGGTAAGGAAATAAAGGAAACCTAATATTACCAAAGTATTCGCTTTTCATAAAATGTATTATAAGTTTTATTAACCTAGCGTACGACCCTGAGATCGTGTGTTCCAATCACGGCTGTGCACCAATGGACTTTGTGCGTAATTCGTAGGGAAACCGGCATATTATGATTATTTATTAGACATGATATAGAACAGAGCCAAAACAGTTGCAGCGTTTTTGTCACTGCTTTATTTAACGTCGGGTCGCCTTGCGCCGTTTTTTGTCTAGTTCCTTTTTGGCTTTAGCTGTTTAATATAACACATTATAATATATATAATAACCGCAATCCACAATGAAAGTCCGTTATCGATCTAATATAATAAAAATATGGATATGAGGTTATATGCGATAAGCAATATTTGTAATCTTTTTTTTTAGTTTTATTTATTTATATACAAAAAATAAAATCCTGCTCTAACATGTGACCCTAAATCAATAAGAACATAACCAATAGAAAAAATCAAACGCGAAATAAAAAACTAACAATTAATTAGAAAAAACAACTACATGAACTAATGTTCATTTTTAGGTATACGTTGTTAGTTGTTAGTCGAACTTTTGTCGATTCAACGGACAACAAAAAAGGTACATATACCTGACTACACTAACTAAAGTCTTGTCATTTGTAATATTAAAAATATTCTGTCCCCGAATGATAAGGTAACCTATATTATTCGTTGACTAATGTAATAACGAATCATATGTGCCCTTTTTAAAAGGTTAGTCCTAGCCGTGGGTACATAAAGTAACGGCGGACGATGTCACCTTCTGCCGTACCCATCAGGCTGCAGGCACATTGAAGCTTAGGCACTTTTAGTTACCCTTAAGTTTACCCTCTAAAAAACAATAAGTTTAGAGAGAGTAATAACGTAACTTTAACTTAATTTAGCTTAATAAATAATTCAAATTTTTAATAAGGACTTTGCCTATTCATTGTACGAATACATTACTTTTAATAGAACTAGCAATGTTACTATAGTAAGCTGCCAAGCCACTGGAATTTTTATTTTAGTATCATATTAATATTACAGTAAAATAAAATATAAATTCATATATATTATAGAATAATAGCACTACAGAGCCTCTGGATGACTTTTAACAATATTTTATAATAGAATATAAGTCACGTTATGCCGATACACGTTTAGTTGACTAAAAATTTACTAAATATTAACTTAATTTTAAGTAACTTAACCCGTGTAAACAGTTAATTTAGTAAGAAGTTGCAAGTTAAAATTTAGTTGCAACTAAACAAGGTAGAATAGAATTTTGTCTATTTTTCGGTTAAGTTGGTGGGCGTGGCTAATCACTTGACACGTTCGGACAGGCAATTATTTTTAGTAAAAGCATAACTGGCGGAGTCTTCAAGCTTTCTTTTGCTTTCGGCGCTGGAAGCTCAAAACATATCCAAAACTATTTGTCCGATATGCGTATACAACAATTAATGAACAGTAGTAGAACCCCTTCCCCAATGAATAATAGTAGCCGTTTTACTCCTTCGCCTTCTTCAAATACGTATTACGTTGAGTCCCCAGAACCTTCACAATCATGTATTGGAGCATACAATACAGTAAACCCTCCCAATCAGGAAGAAAAAACCCTATAATATTTTGTTCTGTGGTCGTCCATCTTGAGCGAATAAATTGTTTAACTAATTATTTAGTATTTTTACGTGTAAACGGTTACTTAAAATTAAGTCACTTGAAATTTAGTTAAGACTTGGCAACTAATACGTGTAAATCAGCCTTTAGGTGTACGCGGCAGGCGGTTAAAACCTCGCTCCCCCGTCCCGGAGCCGCGCGCCCGAGCGCGTCTTGGCCGTCTAGTCGATAGACGCCTATATCACCACACGTTTTATCATTCGGGGACAGAATATTTTTAATACTACAAATGACACGACTTTAGTTAGTGTCAGATATATATGTCATATTCTATTTTAATGATAAAATAACTTTGTCTTTACTAAGTCACTTTTGTGTACTCTCATTTGAGTGCTGCCTACCGTTATTTATATAATTCCAGCGGATTTCTTCTATAGGTAATAATTTTTTGATTAGATAGTAAAATAAAAATATATTTATTTTATTTAAGTAGTGAAAAATAATTAATATGTCTTATGACTGTGTCTGATTAAGTGTGTGTGAGTAATAATAGAACATAAATAATGATGTATCGTGAGTCGATTTCAGATAATAAGCACATGTAACACTTGAAAAGTAAAAATTATCATAAATGATATGTACCCTAGCGTAATCGGCCGCCATTTTAGAAACAAGCTACGCGCTCCCCGCGCGTCAGTCGCCCGAAAGCCGCACCACCGGACCGCACGCTTCGCATTTATCATGATGCAGTTTGAATATGAACCTGAGGTGCTTATTGAAGCTGTAAAAAAACGACCAGGCATTTGGGACAACGAAAATATCAACTACAGGTCGAAGTCGGCTCGTCACAAGCTGTGGTTAGAAGTCGTTCGTGAAGTGGCAGGCGAGGACGTAAAAGTATCAAAGAGTGAAATGCGCGAGTTAGGTGAGCGAAGCGATAACTATAGATGACGTCATACACGCGCACGCGATTCCTTTGCATTTGTCTGTATAATGATTGAATAACATGACAATTTAGCCTTTAGACTGCTTTTTAACCGTCTTATTTTACGTTTGTTTCTATAACTTAGACGAAACTGTATTTACTTTTCAGAACTACAACTTCAGAAAAAGTGGAAGAGCATACGAGACTGCTTTCATAAATACGTAACAAACCCAAGAAGAACAAGAAAACCATACGTCTACTGTCGTCACTTAGATTTTATATTGAAAAAGAAAAGTCGTTCCAGTCGCGATAATGAAGCAGAAGAAGCTGCGCCTAAACAGTGTTGGAAGCACCTGAGAAAGATAAAATTGACCAAAATGAGCTCAGACGAGGAAGAGACGACGACGACGACGTGGATTTCTTTGTGGAGGATGATGTTCAGGCTACGAATGATGTTAAAGTGGAGCCGCCACCACCAAAACCAATTACTGAATTCGCTTTTGCGAATGTAGAAGGGCCGAGCAAGAGTGACGATGACGATCCAGATAGAATGTTCCTTTTGTCCTTACTCCCACACATCAAAGCCATACCCGATGAGTATAGATTGAATGTTAAAATGGATTTAATGCAAGTACTGAGAAACGCCACCAATTTTCACGTAGATAGTATGAAAATGAATGAAAGTAGCTTTAACATACATTAGGTTTATAAGAACATTCCTACTAGTTTAGTAATAAATAATTAGTAAAATATATATAGAACATCTTTAACAGCAGACTTTATGTTATATAAATTTTGTGTAAGAAATTATTGCTTTATATAGATTACTAGTGGACCCCACAGACGTTGTCCTGCATGATATTTAAAGCGATTAGGATATTAAGCAAAGTATGAAAGTACCGACTGCAGTGCCATCTGCCGGGCTGATTTGTGAATCTAAACCATTCCCAATCCCCTGAACACACACAAAAAATTTCATCAAAATCGGTCCAGTCGTTTGAGAGAAGTTCAGTCACATACACACGCACACAAGAAATATATATATTAAGATAGGCTTCAATAATTTAAGCGCAAATTAAGATATCATTTATATAAACTTTCGTAAATTTTTGTATTAAGGCAACCAGGGTCTCATTAAATAGTCTACTCATACAATTGTTTAACTTACCTTAAATCTAAATATGTAAGTGACTGAAGACCTCCAACAGCATCAGGAATATTCCTTATGACATTTTGTGACAGTAATAACTTCTCTAAAAAAATATATGTGGTCACTTCGTCTGGCAACTCCCCAAACCGATTTTTCGATAAATCTGAAACAGGAAATATATAAATTAGTAATTAAACCAAATCTTTATCTATGATGTCTGAAGTCCCGCAACACCGAAATGGGGCATGGGGAACAAGCATAGTTTTATGAATTACTTTTCTATAAGCAAATTGGTATTAAGCGTTCAGTGACTGACATGTACGTTGATAGGCCTAAGACATGATACTTTTAATTACCGAACAGCCAAGTGTATATAATTTATATAGAAAGAAAACATAAGTGCACGGCCAGGCCTTTTTTTATTTTACGGGATTAAACCCACGACCGAGAATCACATTCTTAACTTAAGGTTTTATTAAACTAAAAAAGTTCAACATAAATTTGTCGGAGTCAAAAATATTTTATATACTATTTAAACAATCGGCTTATAAGTGCTCCAACGATTTATAACCAGTCATAAAATTCCCATAATTTACTACCAATAATAAATTAAGACCAAATCTAGTAATAAAAGCTGAAAGGAAAAATTTTTCAGAACAAAAAAGTACTAAACAATATTATGACACGTTTATTGATTTTAAAAGCAACATGATAATGATAAGGACTATAATGGGTTGTAATATAACAGACAGCCAAGCTTTAGGCCAAGACCTAAAGAGGTTGTAGCGCCACTAATTTATTTTATTTTATAGTAGGTTGTAGAGGATAAAAGATAGGTACGGACGGTGATTGATTTTATTTCACGTCCTTGATTATAAATTGTTTCTTGTGAAATTACATAGTTTGGAACTTTTTGTGTCCTTCTAAGAAGTAAGTTTTATTTTAATTTAGGGTTTTGGGAATTTTTAAAGTCATTTGAACCTACCTTTTATCCCCTACCCTCACCTATTATAGGACATACGTAGCAATTCATATACAAACATAGTATTATGTTAATTGTTGTTAAACACCTTCAGAGTAATGATATGTATCCAAAAAATTTTAATAGAGTAAAAAAGTTTAGTTCCGTTTCCATACGTCTACAAATGCAGCATCTTAGCCATAACGCAGATTTGTATACAAACAAGCGTGTTATTCTTACGCAAACCAGTCGATAGGTTCGTTGGCACCGAACGCTTAACGTTAGCGGTTAGATAATGTAAGAACCACAGCAATTTGATTCCTTACTCTAGATACAGATTATAAATCATAAACTACGCGATATAGCTTTATTTAGACTAGTTTGGCTGATTTGTTGAAGCTTTGATGTTTGAAACTGTTTATCATCACAAATTCAACCTTCTGATACAGCTTAGAAATATCAACTACCTAAATTTTACATTTAAATTTAGTATTGTATTAATTATGCCTTTTTTATTTTATATTAGTTTTCAGCACTTTAGTACCGTGACAATAAGTATTTTTATCTTTTCGTATGAATGTCTTTGTGTTGCAATAAAATAAAAAACAGGCAATGACATCCAGACCTATTTAAAACAATTAATATCATAGTTTCTTAGGAAAATGTTTGATCTTACAAACAAATGCACTACATTTGTTTATAACTTGTATAAGCACACTTTAAAAGATTAAACTCATATTGTGAGTAAATATCTCCTCTTCAAATATAGCTATAGTAAAGCTCTAGAAATGTTGGAAAACCTTAAGAATCCGTCATATACGATTGTTAATTAAACTCTAAAGTTTCCTCAAAACCTAGAAATTAATCAAACAACTTCCCGAATTAGTTTAATACGGCCTTCGAGTGCAAAGCGTGAATGTTTCACGAGTTTCAAATGAGTAATTTAAGTTGGTTCATGCCTTTGTAATAAACTTGCTTCTTGATGCTATTATGAAAGTCGAGTTAGGTACGCGAATCGTTTGTCGAATTTACCTAGCATGAGAGAGAGAGAGAGAGTGAGAATAATAAATTATGCTAAAGTTCTATAAGTATGATTTGTTGCCGAAATGTAATGTGATCCATTCCGAGTAAATGCTTCCTTCAAAACTTCGTAAAAAAGTTTTTAAATTGCACACCAAACAGCTGAAATTCCCTTAAACCTTTTGAAATCAGTATAGAACACTGTACAGTGTACGTGTAGATATAATACCCACTGAAAAGGTTAATTATTTGCATGAATAAATTCAATAAGCTCAAGTTATTTATAATAAAGGTGACGATAATATAGACAAAGGCAGGACGCGAGGGGAGAGAACAAAGCAGCCATACGTGACTGACATTGTGCCATAAAGGTTAGCTAAATAAGGCAACAAAAACAACAATATGATGATAAGTAGATTTTAAATATAGGCTGTTTGCATAAAAGACATTTAGATCTTTAAAGAACTCTACAGACAGATATTAAACATACATGTAACCTACTTAAATAATAAGGAAAGATAACACATTTGCTATGACATATACCCAAAACCATATCATCTCAATCCAATTTACTGACTTACAATTCAATCCATTTCTAAAGAATGCCAATATTAAGTCCATGGACTAAGATACCAATCTAATTATTCAACCAATCGTTCAGAGGGCGGATAAGAGATTGAAGATTGCCCTCTGTATGAAAATGAATGTTTACTCATCCAAAACCTATCTTCATTTTGACAGTTGCTTCGATTGGCCAAATCAATCTCGGATTACTATCGGTGAAACTCGTATGATTTGGGTTTGGGATTGCGACCTAATTAATATTTATTGGGAAAATTTATTATCTTGTATCTTCAGTTCTAGTGATAGTGATTTGGAAGTTTAAATCAATTTCCGATGGGATAGTAATTCTGAACTGAAGAAGACACTACTTCTTCAAGACTAAGAAGACAAGAATTAATGATGATGAACCAGCTAATGATATTGATCAAAGCGCAATTGACAACGTGGGAAATGCAAGTGTGCGAAGTAATCTTATAAGTGATTTTTTTTGCTTTATTACTATAATATTTTATAAATTACAACATTTTTGAGATAAATTAAATAAAAATTCAATGCTTTAATTCAAATAAAAATACAAATTTTTAATACAATACATCCTTGCTCCAGGCACAAAATCTATTATTTTTCTAATTTATTTAACAATATATTTTTTTCTATGGCCCATAATTCTCTTTTATGCTCTCTTGCTTCCTCTTCAAATGCCCATTGCTTTCTCTTATTTAGAAGCTCTTCCTTTCAATTGACTTTCAATTCCTTCGACAGACAACAATATCATGTCTTTGACTTTTTCCTCGATAGGGGTAAGAGGAGTGCACACTACCACCTCCTGTCGATATGTTTCACTTTCAAGCAACTTTTTCTTGTAGCCCTCTTTAAGCTTTACACTGCGAAAGTTTACCCCACTTGTCTATTAAACACGCCTCCACGTCTTCCACACTCTCTTTCTCCTGCCAGGTGACTGAGTCACTCTTTTTTATTTTCTAATATATTTTTATGGTCAGCAACAAGCGAAGTTAGAAGGTCATCTTCTTCCCGGCTGAAATTGACGCTTCTTTCACTTTTTCGTAGACATTTTTTAAGTTAAAGAACCAACCTCATCCAACCTCACAAACTACTCAGAGAAAATTTATATTTGAAAGGTCAACCAACCCGAACTAAAAATTAAATTTCTAAAATACTCAATAACCTAACAAACAAAAATACCATATGAAAATGACACCCGTTTCGTTACAAGTAATATTAAATGACCAACAAAAAGGTTAAGGTTCTATGTTTTTCTATAGAATTTTGTAACTTTATTTGTTCGTAAAAAAAAACAAACAAAAACGTTGCATAGCTATTTGCTACTTTATCCATACATTGAGAAACAACCCTAAGTCTTACTTATTTTATTTCGTTCCAAAAACACAACTTTTGGTATGCTTGAACACAATATATTGCATTGAACGAAACGCGGCGAGAGGGAAGGACACGCAAAGATTGCTGTCAATCTTTGTCAAATAAACAATCGGATAGCAGAAATGTTTATTGGCGTGCAGATTGAGACGGTCTTTAGATATGAATCAGTCCAAGATTGGTTATAATCATAGATTGAGGATACATTATTAATTTTGGCCGTAAAATAATAACTTGAATATTAATTCGTGGTCTATTTTTGACGTTACGATGACCTTCAAGGTGACTAAGTAAATACTAACTATAGACTAGTTAGTATTTAAATTTTTTTAAATTGTAGTATATGTTTAAAAATATTCCGTATAAAACAAAATATAAATTACACAAAATGCAGCGTTGATAAATTAGAATATTATCTCCAAAGCAATCTAAATGCCTGTGGTATATAGTTGGTTACGAAGTACACAAAGTACACGAAATTAATACGCTTGACATACTTTGCAATTAATTTTATAACTAGCGCGATCTTTGAACTCCACGCGTAAAAAATCAAACGAAACTGGATTCAAACCACCATATTTTCTGAACAAGTTCCTACTAATTTTTGCGTGCG